TACGAGGCAATGAGCCAAGGATGGAAAGAGGCGGGGACATGGGCGCAAGCATCAAGAGATCCCGGCGAGGAGGGAGTGTGAGAGTGGCGAGAGAGGAGCGTATGTGGCGGCGGCATGGGGTGAAATGGAGATAGAGGCAAGGACTAGGGTTTCTAACACACACACACCCCTTTATATGTACCTACCACTTGAGCATCAAAGGACTATTGACCACTAAAGAAAAGATCGAACGGTCAAGAGAATCTACGTGAGCTGGCTTATCTCATCTCCCCTCAATTATGATTTTATCATGGGTAATTATGAATAATATCCAGCTAAGGATCAAGTTGTTTTCTAGAATCTGCCGTTGGATTGCCATTGTACGGCACAATTGCTACCGTTTGAGTATAGCCAAAATAAAAAGCAGCCAAGCTGTTTTTCGAGGGAAGAATGTCAAGTTTAAACTTAACATAAATATTTAGTACTACTCCCTCCGTTCTAAAATAGATGACTCAACTTTATACTAATTTTAGTACAAAGTTGAGTCATCTATTTTGAAACGGAGGGAGTAAAAATTATTCAATAATAAAAGTTGAAACGAGAAAGAAATTAAAAAAAAGGCTCCATTGCCGGGATTTGAACCCGGGTCGCCTGGGTGAAAGCCAGGTATCCTAACCGGGCTGGACGACAATGGACTGGTGACGTATTTCGATCTTCAAATTATCTAACTCCGCCCATAAATTTGGACTGATGACATGTCTGACGTAGGGATAAGGCGTGTCTGGTGGTGCCGGAGCGAGGTGCCGGGCGGCGCTCCGCTACTTTTCCCCGTCCCTGGAGAGTGAGCGCCGGCCAACAGGCCGGGCACCGTCAAGTCGGGCCTCACCGGAGGTCCTTCTTCCCGTTCCTGGAGGTTTGTCTCCGGTCTCAGCGGTCGATTCCCTTTGTTTTCTGAGCGCGGCGGAGAGAAGGATGCGACATGGGGAAAGGCAGCCGGGCGAGACGTGGCCCGGAGCTGCCGGCGCCGCCCTAAGCTCATGGGGAAAGATGTCTCATCCCTGTTCTCTCAGTTTCTCTGTTCAAATGGATTGGGGTTTCTGATTTTGCCTAGTTTGCTCACCGGCATGTTCTCCTTTGCGACACTAATCCCTTTTCTGAAGGCCATTTCTGTTCATGTTGTATGATTATGTATAGTAGCATCAATACATTTTTCGAAAGCTAATATTTGTTTGGCTACTTATCTGAGCAAATCTTGTATGTTAATAAAAAAAGAAGAAAATTCTTGTTTTTTCTTTCTAAAAATAGATATTGGCCGAGAGACAATCAATTAGATTTTCTCTTTAGCGGGCATTTCCATATAGGACTTCTTATAATTATAATAAAACAAGCAGGTTATATAAAAAAACGCTTTTTTTGTCGATTATTTATCAAGAAAGAACAAAATGATTATATGATATATGTTTCATCTGATCCCTCCTCTCTGACCTTTCATCAGCGGTTATACCTGAACATAGCAGAGCTGCTGCGAATCTGAGGAACTTCATCAGATCCTTTACATTCCAAAAAACAAGCTGAGGCAATATGTGCACCCGGTCCTGCATATCTTGGGTTCTGAGAATGTTGTCAGCTCATCAACTCAATAAGTGGCGTGGGTCTGGAATAAGTGCCCCAACTTTTCTTAACCTGGTGTAAGTGACTGAGGTTTTCTGTTTCTCTCTAAGGCTATAACATCTGTGCATTATCGATGCAGTAATATTGAGAAACCGACCAATGTCGTGCCAACCGGTTGTAATATTGGCAAACTGCGCCAACTATGTGTAACAATGGAAATCATGACCCTTTCATACTGCTTTATTACAAGTTACGTTACACTGTGTCACTATTCAACCTATAGTACCTCTATTCTTCAGTTCATTATACATACTGCTTCCAGTATCTACCTATCATGTTTTTCTATGCCTATGGCTCTATTTTTTACCCAACTTGCTGTCCTTTTCATCACTATCCTTATAGTATGTTGTTTATTGAATTGAAAGAAGTTACACGTTAATAGGACTGGATGTGCATTATTCTGCTGTAGTTATGGCAGGATGCAGTCTATCAGACAGTCTACTTATGTTACCATTCATCAGACCATCAGTGCATTTTCTCATTCTTTTTTCCCTTCAGTCTTGGGTTTGGCTTTCATTCTCTTTGTTCAGTCTTTATCTTTTTCTCGCTCTCTTTATTGAAGTATTATGCATTTACTTCATCCTTCTCTCACCAAAATGTATGCCAGATCTTTTCTCCATCAGCAGATGACAATCCTCAGTTTCCACTATTTTGCAGATGACAATCTTCAGTTGTCAATGCATTTTTGGGGGGCTTTTGGATTCCAATTTTGTCGGTTTTTTGCGGCCTTCCGATTTGGTGTGAATAAACAGAGCAGAAGGGGGAGAGAGAGAGAGAGCAGTGGCTTTTGAGTGGATCACCTCAGTTTTCAGGCGTTAGCTTATCCCAAACAGACAGAATTTAAAGCTAAGTTTGGGATTTGGAACCAGAGCAGGCCTACATAATCAAAATCAAAATTTGACTGAGACCCAAATCAAATTCAGTCTAATGATCGTTAGACACGCCCAACTACAATGATCTATCACCGGTGACAAACTAGCAATCAGCCAATAAGTTTGGAAGTTGGAACTGATGAGTGAGACCCAAGTTCAGAATCAAAATTTGACCGAGACCCAAAATCAACATCAAGCTTTGACTGAGATCAAAATCAAATCCAGTCAACTGATGACTGACTGACACTCCCAACTACAGTAATCTGTCGCAGATTCACTGGTTACAGACTGCAGTTGAAACGGCTGCAGTTTACTTCTTGCTGTTGAGACGGCATATCACCTGCAGCTGCAGGTGGTCGTCGCCGGAGACGTGGAGGTGCAGGCGGAGGTCGGACAGCAGCTCCTGCCTGGCCCAGGTCAGCGGCCCCTTGGCGTGGAACGCCTTGATGACGCTCACGTAGGCCTCCAGCTCCAGACCATGGATGCGGTGCTCATGCTCCTCACTTTGCTGATACTCACCTGCACATTGCACTTTGCGGCATTAATCCCTTTTCTTGAAGCTAAAGGCCATTTTTGCTCATCTTTGTGGTAGCATCAATACATTAGCCGAGAAAAATGTAGGTAGACTAAAGAACAAAATGATTATATGGTATGCTTTGTCTGATTGTTTTCCTTTCTGACCTTTCAATTGGTTGACAAAATACCGGTGTTCTTTCGTCAATACCTGAATAAGTCATACTGTCTAGGACATACCAGAGTTGCTGAGAATCTGAGGAACTCCATCAGATCTTTGTAGTTTTAGAGACACAAGTTGAGACAATATGTGCTAGCCAGTCCTGTGCATGTTGGGTTCTGAGGATGTTATCAGCTCAGCAACTCAGTAAGTGGCGTCGGTCTGGAGGCCCTAACTTTTCTTAACCTGGTGTAACTTGTAAGTGAATGAGATTTTCTGCTTTTTTTCCTGTAAGGCTGTAATAACATCTGTGCATGTATTGTCAATGCAGTAAATATTGAGAAACTAAACAATGCCATGCAAATCATTTGTAATATTTGCAAATTGCGCCAATTATGTTTAAATAGCACAAATCTTGACCCACTCGTTGCTCTTGATTGACAGATGTTTTTCATGTTTGCATCATGAATTTGATAATCTTTTTGAACTTCTGATTTACTGGAAATGTTCTAGTCAATGCTCGAATATTTTGTTCATTCCATCAGTTTATTACTTCAGTCGTTGTTCAGTCCATCACTTGTATCGGAGTATCTGTCTTTCATGATTTTCTATGACCCATGGCTCTATTTTTTAACCCAACTTGCTCTATTGACTTGAAGATAAATTTCTAAGTTAATAGGATTGAATTGGATGTGTATTATTCAGCTGTAGTTATGGTAGGATGCAGTGTATCAGCCTAGACAGTCTACTTATGTTACCAGTCATCAGACCTTCAGTTGATTTTCTCATTCTTTTTCCCTTGTCATGGGTTTGTTTTTCATTCTCTTTCTTCGGTCTTTATCTTTTGATCATTCTCTTTATTGAAGAATTTTGCATCACAATATGTCAGGTCTTTGTCACATACTCACATCACAATATATGTCAACTATCTTCTCCATCAGCAGATGAATCTTCAGTTTCCACTATTTTTTCACTATTTTCTTCCTGCTCTACTAATCTTTTCTTTAGTTTTCCATACATTTTTGTGGAGACTTTTGGATTGTGTCTATTATTTGGAGCCTTCCAATTTGGTGAGCTGCTAATATAAAGATCTCAGTGGTTGAGTCCACCGTCAGGGCTATCCCAAACGCCACAGAATCTAAGATATAAGTTTGGAAGTTGGAACTGATGAGTGAGAGCCAAATTCAAAATCAAAATTTGACTGAGATCCAAATCAAAATCAAAATTTTATTGAGACCCAAATCTAACTTGGTCTAATAAGTTTACATTAGACACTCCCAACTACAATGATCTATCACCGGTGACAAACTAGCAATCAATAATAAGTTTGGAAGTTAAAACATGACAGAGACCCAAAATCAAAGTCAAAATATGACTGAGATCCAAATCAAATTCAGTCAACTGATGACTGACACTCCCAACTACAGTAATCTATCACAGATTCACGGGTGACAAACTAGCAATCAAAATCACAATTTGACTGAGACCCAAATCAATTTCAGTCTAATGATCATTAGACACTCCCAACTACAATGATCTATATATCACCGGTGACAAATTATATAGCAATCGGCAATAAGTTTGAAATTAAGCTGGAACCGATCGATGGCTGGGACCCAAATTCAGAATCAAAATTTGACTGAATCAAAATCAAACTTTGACTGAGATCCAAATCAAATTCAGTCAACTGATGACTGACTTGACACTCACAACTACGTACAGTAGTAATCTATCACAGATTGACAGGTTACAAACTACAGCAATCAGCAATAGCCGCCGTTGAAGTGAAACGCCTGCAGTTTTTTTTACTTCTTCCCCTTGAGACGCCAAATCGCCTGCAGGTGCTCGTCGCTGGAGACGTGGAGCTGAAGGCGGAGGTCGGACAGCAGCTCCTCCTTGGCCCAGGTCAGCGGCCCCGTGAAGTAGAAGGCCTTCATGACGCTCACGTAGGCCTCCAGCTCCAGGCCATGGACGCGGTGATCATGCTCCTCCACTTGCTCATTCTGCTCCTCTTCCTCGTCCGCCGCCGGGCGGTGGCGCATTCCCGCGCTGCCACGGGACTCGGTCCTCTCCCCAGAATCTTGCTCCTCTTCCTTGCAGCTCGGCGGCGACTGAACTTCTTGATTTTCTTGGCAATGCTCGGCGGTCGGGGGAACTGCACGAGCGCCGCCGTTGCTGTTGCTGTTGCTTCCCCCACTGCTGCTGCCGCTGCTGCTGTCTCCGTCCGATGACGATGGATCAGACTTGCTACTGTTGGAATCGTCGTCGCTGTCGCTGTCCGTTCCTCCTCCGACCACATCAATTTCTTCATTGTTGGGTTTATCATGATTGCTAGTCTCCTGCTCCCGTTTCTTGAGGTAATGGCTTGGGTGTACATCCATCACCTCTATGTTGTTGTCATGGTACCTTGCTGCGGGCTCTCTCTTGGCCAAGAAGACGTTGCCCTGAAATCTCTTGACGTCCCTGACTATGTCGGCGTCCACCGCGTAGTTGCTCCTCTTTGTCTTGCCCAGATTGAGATTGGTGGCATGCGCGGCGAACTTGCCACCTCCATTGATATTGGCTTTGCTTTTGATGTTCTTGCCGGCGACGGGGCGCCATGGCTGGGCGCTCTCGACGGGGATTTTCTCACCCTGGAGCGAAGAGAAAGAAGAAGAGGGCAAGACGCCGTCAGTGAAAACAAGAATCTGCAGACGTACGTAACTGAATCTAAGAGAGGAGGCCGCGCGCGCGTGTGGAGAAGATGAAGGGGACGACGATGGCGTTACCTTCTGAATGACAACCCAGCCTTTCTCCCCTCCCTCGTATGCCATACGGGGGCGTAGCACGCTCAGGTCCGCCGCAAGGACCTCGGTCGAGCCGGCGATCTTGACCTCGAACTGACCGTGGCCGGCGGCGCCCACGACCTTGGCGCGCTTCCACAGGTTGCTGTGCAACACCTCAACGGAGTCGCCGGCGGCAAGGTCCGCCGGCAGCTTGACGGATGGATCCGGAAGCGGCCGGACGTCCGTCCTCCGGATGCGCTCGGAGTCTGGGCCGCCATCGAACCACCGCAGCACGTACGAGTGTCCGTTGCCCCAGATCACCTCGCCGGCACGCCACGCGTACACCTCACCCGCCGCGTCGATGAAGATCTTCGCCTCCAGGTGCATACCTCGGGTGACCCTCATGGCCGATCGATCCCCTCTCATGAGTTCTCTCTGGATTTGTGCGCCGCCGCAATCACGGGGGATTTCCTGGAGCTCGCGGCCGTATATATAATCTCGGCGAGAGGGATCGATCCGATGCGAGTCGGGGCGCCGAGTTCTTGGGCGACGCGAACTCGGCCGATCGAGTTGCGGCGTGTTCGATATGGAAAGGGCTCCTCGATCGACTCGGAACCGACGCGGAATCCAACAAGACCCCCGACGAAAACCTCACGCGGAATCTAATTAACCGACCATGGATTAACCTGCTCGCGCCGGCGGGATGGTGTTGGGAAGGAGCGGAGTAGGGTTCGGCGGAAGGAACCGCCGGCGGCGGCCCAAACTTAGGGCATCTCTAGTCTCTATCCCTGGAAACCAATCGTTTAACTTCTCAATAAGGAACCTTTTGAGGAGTTGTACCCTGACTAAACCACCCCTAAAGAAACTTCTCAAAAAATTGAGGGGTTAAGCCTCAAAAGATGCCCTTTTCTGCTCCAATTCGGACAATCACTCGAGTTCTCCCTAAATCCTATTCCCCTCCTCTCCCCAAAATTAATGGTGCAATGGACGACGATGCCCGATTGGACCCGGTATAAATCCTCGGCGTCGACGCCCCCTCCCTCCCGCCACCACAAGCCGGCCGCCGCCCATCCCTCCCACCACCACCACCACCA